GAAATATTATACGTATCCAGCCAAGGTGGAATGTGAAAAATAACAAATCAATATATCTGAGAAATGATCAGAAATTTATTGTGATGCTGTATATTTATAACTTTATAACTCGCGTAACAAAATATTAACATAAGCACCCATGCGAAACTTTATTATATTATTTATTTACATTTAATAACACTTCTAATACGAATTAATGCATTTAAAATTTCTCGAGATTTTGTTTTAGATTTCATAGTTACATGCATTAATATATTATCAAACAATAAACCATTAAGTCAATAAGTAAACTCCTATTAAGTTTTTCGCTTCTTAGTTTTAGAACTTTGTTGTTTCTTAGCTCTAGGAGACACATGCTCTTTGACTCTTGATGGCACCAATACGTTATCTACAGAGTGTTTCTTCTTCTTGGAAGCTTCCTCCATCAAAGTGAAGGTTCTTATGGTTTGTTTGAAAATATTCTGCACAAAATAACAAAATTAAAAATAATAAATGAAATGTTAAAGGGAATTTGTCAGCTTAGTTACCTTTATGTTTAACATCATCCGTGCTATTGTTACAATCTTGCTCATTTCATCAAATCGAGTGGGTACATCAAATTCTGCCAGTATAACGGATCCATGGTATTTACCACCAATGTATACATTTAACAAAACCCGAATAAAAAATCGAGATGAGATAAATCCAGGCAGAAGCAGTTTTCGGAAAGCTTGAGCAACTTTGACAGGAACAGCACCACCACCTGCGTTAGACAAGGTTTCTAATAACGTCTGGTGCATGTCACGCAGAGTTTTTTGTACTTTTAAGGTGTTATCTAGTATTTTTCTACCATTTTCAATTTTAGACCCTGCTCTTTCACACAGTGAAAATTCTCGCCCCCAGGTAAGATCTCTTGCGAGATCATGTCTCTACAAACGAGAATCATTAGCTAAAGTTTGTTTATGATAATGGATTACAAACATTCATACCGTAAAAAGCCAATCTAGATGATAACCTTCTGCTTTATCAGAAGCATCAATTGCTTGAGTACGGCGTTGTCGTGAAGCTCTGGAAACCATCTCCCCACTAGTTAGTAATGGTGAAAAAAGGTTCATAATATATCAGTAAGAATGTATATAATAAATTTCAATATATTAAAACATGATCATGTAAAATTAGCAGTTTGAACTTACAAATGCGAATCCATAATGTCATCAAAGCAAGAAAACATGTGGGACTTGAAAATCACATCAATATCCCGTTCCGAATTTTCTCGTTGCGGAATTTTTTTATCGATCATATTGTATCTAGTTTACATGGGTATTCAGTTATTCCAAAATACTAGTTACATGTAACAATTCCCATACTTACGTATAGTGAAGAAGTTCAATGATGTAATAGACATCTGGGTGTTTATAATCTCCATCTTGAAAAAAATTATCGATAGTTGTGATTTCAGTAGGTGGAGAGTCAAGGAAGGGGTTTTCATCTTCACATTTGTTCGAAGTAGTCAAAATCTTTCAAGCCTTATTTATAGCACCACAAACACCATGATGTATTACGGTTTTGGCTACCTTCTTCAATCCTTTCTTATCCAGCTGGAAGACAATCACACAAAGGTTGAGCTTATGAATCGAAAAAGTGCATAAAGGTACTTAACATACCCACCATTGCAATTGAGTGCAAGCATCTTTCAGCTGGTGGCTCTAACACTTCCCAGTCCGATGGAAGGTTGGAAAGTAAACTTTCGCTTAGGTTTAAAAACTCTCGTTCCGTAATAATTTCAGTTAATTTCGGATCACATGTGTCAATTACACGCCACCAAATGGCACTAACAATAGAAAGATTTCAGAATCATATATTTTGATTATAGTAAAAAATCATATAATTGTGGACTTACGTTTCTGCTACTTGGGAAAGTGATTTGAGGTCAATTGTGGTGGCAAGATCTTCGCGATGTTGATGAAGCAGTTTGAGCCAGCCAGGAATTGGTTCTTTGAACTCCCAGCTTTTCTCAAGATTATGCTCTTCCTATTCGTGCATTCAACAAAAAGGCCAAGGAAGCAAATTAATTACATGTCAATGCAAAATATAAGAAAAATATAAAAGTTATATAACTTACTACTTTTTCGTCATCAATAATATTGTCTCTCGTAAGAACATCTTCAATGTCTTCGGGAGCATTGGAAACATTTGACTCATCAGTTTTCGTGGCATCAGAATCTGACTCATCCATGACTGTTGACTTACGTTTCAAAGCTATTATTCCGCACCATAGAGAAAAGATTAAATATATAATACAAGATGTAATGAAAGACGAGTTGATGTATTACCAGGTTGTATGGTCTCCCGCGTAGTGTTAGAAAGTACTTCGCTAAAATCAGTCTGCAGGCCTAACACTTGGTGAATTATGTTTTTTGAATTTGTAACTGATGCATTTCTTAACGCTTCCATAACAGTAGAACTGTTGTCCCAGAACTCTTTGACTTTGGACGATTTTATATCCTTCTAATATATGTAGAAAAAAAGAGCAGATTTGCCGTGATACCTTTAGACTCATCCAAAGGTAAAAGTGCACCCAAAAGACTCATCTCTCAGGAATTCAGACTCATCCTAGCACTTTCGGCAATTAATGAAGAGACTACAACAAAATGCATTCTCCAGACTCATCCAGAGAAGTTTCGGACTCATCCTAGCCTTTGCTACAATCTCAAAACAAACAAAAAAAAATTCCAAACCTCAAATGAACTAATACAATTCGAGACCAGCTTTTCTACGAGTTCACTGCTACAAGACTTTAGTAGTTGCGGTTTGAGACGAAGTTTCTCTAAACAAACTTTATATAAAAGGTGTTCGTCCTGTTTATCCCCGAAACTTTTTGCGAACACTATACTCCACTGTAAGAAATCGATCAAGCTCCACGTTTCATTGTTTTCGAAATAAGGAAGTCTAGATTCCCAACGTGCATCTTTATAGGTAGTCATGATTTAGAGGTTTAAAAAATTTGGTTCTACTTAAAAATACTACGGAATTTTATAGCTAATCAGATCGATCGAATCATGTTGTAAACAGCATAGTGGAATTTCTTTAAAAGGTTACGAGTCGTGACGATCCTTTTTATATTATTCTATGACTTGTCTTAATTAGTATTGTGTAACGAACTTGCAGATCACATTTTCATATAGTGTAAATAGTAAAACGTTAAAAATTTACAATTTCGGCGTTCATTTTATTCCGAATATTAACTCTTTTATAATGTAGTCTCTTAATTAAAAAAAAATATCATCGTTTAAAAATATGGGTTATATAATACATAAAAGAGAATTTGTCATGTAACTTTTGTATAATCAAAGAGTAAAACTACTCATATTTTTTGAGCAAATTTAAAATTCAAAAAAAAACTTTTTAATAAACTTTGAACCTATAAAAATAAGAACCTATAAAAATAAGAAACGTAAAGTTGATTTTTTTTAGCTTAAAATTAAAATGCTAGAACAAGAGAATAATCCTAATTATGAAGATTTTTTTCTTTTAATACCAGCAACTTTTTTTGTGATGTAAGCAGCCTTTTTATAATACCAATAGCTTTTAACAAGTGGAAGAACTTGAAACTAAATACAATTTAAAAAAAGAGTTCAAATATAATGAAGATTTATTTAAACAACTTTTAATTAATGATGATGATTCCAGTAGCACCACCTCATATTTTGAATGTGATGAATATAACGATAAACTCAAGAAAGGAGAAGGAGAAGATTTTAATAATTGGTTAAATAAAATTGAAGAAAATAAAATTATTTTAGACAAACCTGAAATATCAACTCCTAATGTTTCTCAATGTAATCTAACCTTGTGTATAATTATTAATTATATACAAGGTGAATTGAAGACATGTAGTTTAACATACCGATTATGAAAGTTAAGAAATTTATTTAGAACTTGGCAGATAGATAGAGAGGTAATCAATAAAGTTAATAATATTTGCTGTATATAATTATTTTAATTTATCAAAAAAAAAACTAAAAAAAAATTAAAAAATAATAAATAAATAATTAAAATATTAATTTAAATTAATTAAATTAAACTCACTTACCACCACAAATGCCAACCAACTATTATTATTAATAAAGAAATCTAAAAAAAAAAAA